CAACCCCACCCCATTACATCTTGTCCCCCATGCTTAACATAAAGAATTATTCAAAATATTCAATTACCAAACTACCCCTCCGACCTTATTGCAATCACCATTTTACCCCTGAATGTACTGCAATTTACCAAACTACCCCATCAGCTATAACCAATCACCTAATCAATCTAAACCAAAATACAGCAAATATGACCAATTTCTAAACAAATTTCAACAACAAATCTGATGAACACGGATTGAATCATACAGCTTCAAATTAATGGGAATAAGTTAACCATATTGGGAACCAATCCTGGTTAACTTAGACCAAAAAATGAAATGAGAAAAGAGACAATAATATCAACAACAAAATATATGATTCAAACTAAATCAACAAATCAAAAACCAAAACAAACTCAAATTAAATTACTGGAATTAAAATGAACTTCAAACAAAGAATGAACATGCATTAAATCCATATTAAATAACAAACATGACGGATCCAAATGATTAAACCAACATATTTCCTTATTACAACTAAATTCTTTTAGACAAATAAAAACAAACCGAAGAAGAAACAATTATGAATTTAAACTTGAATCTAACAACATTAACAATTTTTGAAAAATACATAAAACACATGAAACAAACTGAAGAAATAATTAATTAAATTTCAATTTGAATCTAACAACATTAAACTAACAATTTTCATATTAAAACTAAACAAGAACAAATGAATAAAAACAAACGGAAGAAATAATCAAGAAAAATAAATCAAACATATACTGATTTCAAATCCGAAAATATCAAACAAGATACAGACAGAAATGAAACTTAAACCAACTAACCGGATCGGATCAACGATTAACTCGAACCAAGACTGCCAATGACCTAACGGATCTCGAATTCAAAGAAAACCCACCTTCTCTTTTAACCTTGACGAACTTCAAATGGACCTCACCCAACGACGAACAACAAAGGACTCAAACAAAACCAAACGAAACCTTGACAGAACTTCGCTGGACTTTAATCGGACTTCCTTGCTTTTCCTCTTTGTGTGTGCGTGTGGTCATGGAAGCAACAGCAACTATGTGTTTGGACGTGAGCTGGTATTATGGTTGTCGAGCAGCAGCAGCCATGGTGAGCTACCTGAAGCTGCGACTGGAGCTGCGACTGGAGAGGAAGAAGCAGCAGCGATGGTGGACGCAGTAGTTGTTGTTGCTGCGTCGCCAAGCTGGAGGTTGTTTGGGACATGAACGCTTAGGTTTGCTGGGGGTCGACGAGGCAGCTGGGGAGGTGAAGGAGGCATCCATGGATGTTGGACGAAGAAGAAGAAACAACGAAGGTGTTCGACGGAAGGGGTTGTCGCTGGTTCGAAGAAGACGGAGGCGGCGGGCAGTCCATGGACGAGCTTGTGCTCTCCATGGAGAAGACAAAGCAGCAAGAGGCAGCCATGGGAGCTGGATCTTGACTGCGGTCGCTGCTGGTCGTGAAGGTAGCCATGGTCCAGCTTGATCTCGACAATGGAGAAAACAAAGCTGGGGCGATGGACTATCGTGGTGGTGTGTGTGTATGTGGAGATGGTGAAGGGGAAGGAGACGGAAGGGCAGGGGGGGTTGTCCGTGGCTGTGTGATGGATAGGAGGGTAGCCATTGATGGGGAGGTTGGTGCTTGGAGAGGATGAAGAGAGAAAAGAGGGGGGGCGGATCTCTTTAGGGTTTTTTAGGTTTTTTTTTGTTTTGTAAAATGTAAGATAGGGGGTGTTAGGTATTTGGGTTATGGACTGGGTCGACTCGGTTTAAAATGGACCGGGTCGTAGGGGAAGGTTGGGTATTTTTGGGCTTGTAGCTTGAATTAGAAGAAGAGCCCAATTTCGATTTTTTTGTATTTTTGCTCTCTTTTCTTCTTTTATTTTTTCTAAAACTAAATTCTAAAAATCCTTAAATTATTATTACGTTATAAAAGCGCAAATTAACTCCAAATAACAATTAACGCACAATTAAGTAATAATTAAGCATAAAATTGTACATTTGGACATTAAATGCTAAAAATGCAAAAGATGCCTATTTTTGTGATTTTCATTTTTTTTGTAAAACAAACTTAATTACTAACAATTGTAGGATTAAATCCTAAATGCAAAATGTAGATGTATTTTTGTATTTTTTATTAATTTAAACAAATGAACATGCACAGACAAATACAAATAATTATCCAAAAATGTCACAAAAATTCTCAAAATTGCACACCAAGGAAAATCATTTTATTTTGAATTTTTTGGGAGTAATTCTCATATAGGGCAAAAATCACGTGCTTACAATACCAACTTGTCATGACCCTAAATTCAGAACCGATCATGATGGCGCCTCCCATGAAGACAAGGCCAGCCGACACAACTCCCAATTCATTCTTAAAAATTATAATAACACAATTTATGTCATTAACATGCTAATAATCCCAAAATAAAGTGAAGTAGTACAATTTGCATAAATAAACACAGCCCGACATCAGGGTGTCACCAGTCATGAATGTCTAACATAAGTCTAAGAGTATGAAAGAGTTTATACCCGTCTATTATAGAACTAGAACAAGGGAAGTAAAATAGGAGGGAGAAACACTGGGCTGCGAATAACGAGCAGCTACTTAGTGGACTCCGAATAGCCTGCTGGGAGCAATCAACCCTCACTGGCGGGACCCGAAGCTCCTGAATCTGCACACAAGGTGCAGGGAGTAAAGTGAGTACTCCAACTCAGTGAGTAATAAAAGTAAAAGCAGTTGAGAGGTAAGAAATCACATAAAGTACAACAACATGCTATAAAGAGGCAGTATAAAATCAATACAATGCAACAAAATAGTGAAAACTTGTAAAAACACCTCTTTTCAGTAAATACCTCTTTAAAACATCTTTTAATAGTTAAAATGGTGAATGAAGAGCAGCGAGAAAAGATAAACACATAAAATCAGCCCCTTAGGCACAATACCAACAGAAATCAGCCCCTCGGACAATAACATGGAACAACCTCAGCCCCTCGGGCTATATCACATATCATACTAGGTATCCGCGCGCACTGGGGGTATACAAACTCCGAGAGGGGTCCCTTACGGCCCAAGTGCAATATCAAGCCATCTCGTGGCATAATCAAATAGGCTCTCGGCCTGATATCAAGCCATCTTATTGCATAACAAATCAGCCCTCGGCCTCATAATCACGAATCAGCACAATACCGCTGCAGTGCGCAGCCTGATCCCAAAATAACCTCGCAACATAGGCATTCGGCCCTACTCAGTCAAAAATCTCTAAAAGTCACTTGGGCACAATAAAGTATGATGCTCAGCCCAAAATATCATTTAAGATGTCAAAACAAAGTAAATATGGCTGAATTATGAAAATAGTAGAATACAACATGACTGAGTACAAATATGAAGTCAAAACACTGAGGAATAGTAGTAAAAATACCCTAAGGGTCCAAAACAGTTGGCACGAGGCCCAAATATGGCATTTAGCCCAAAACATGATGATAACAAACAGTTTTCAATCAAATACGCAGTAAAACAATCATACGAGATGGACTAAGTCACAATCCCCAATGGTGCACGACCCCACGCTCGTCATCTAGCGTGTGTGTCACCTCAAAGTAGCACAACGATGTGAAATCCGAGGTTTCATACCCTCAGGACAACATTTAAATCATTACTCACCTCTACCCGGTCCAAACTCTAGCCCGCGATGCCTTTGCCTCTCGAATCGGCCTCCGGATGCTCCAAATCTAACCAAAATAAATGCAAAACCATCAAAATATGCTAAGGGAACAAAGCCCACTCGAAAGGAATCAAATTACAATATAAATCCCGAAATTGGCCAAACCCGACCCCCGAGCCCACGTCTTGAAATTTGATAAAATTTACATCAATAGACTCCTTATCTCTCCACGAGTTCATACATATCAAAAGTACTAAAATCCGACCACAAATGACCCCACAAACCCTTGATCAAAGGTATCCAATCACAAGCCCTAGTTTTCCCAATTTCTAACCCTTAATTTCCATTAATTTTCAAGCCAAATCAGTGAAATAACACCATAAAAATGGGTTTAGGGTCCAAAATCCTTACCTCCATGAAATCCCTCTTCAAATAGCTCCCTCAAGCTCAAACCCGTATGAAAATGATGAAGAAATAGCTCAAAATCGTGAAGGAAATCTTTTATACCTTCTAGCCCAGGATTTCCGCACCTGCAGTCCATATCTCGCTCCTGCGCAATCGCTTCTACGGTCCCAAGCACCGCTTCTGCGTTCACCACTTTAGTCACCTTCTGCACCTGCGACCCTACCTCCGCATCTGCGAGCCCGCAAGTGCGGCTTACCTCCCGCATCTACGGTTTCACTCAGCTATGCCTTTGGCCGCATCTGTGGCTCCAAACTCACTTCTGCGAGACCGCACCTGTGGCTAGGGGACCTCGCGGCACATCTTCAGCTGCCAAAACCAAATTAATTCTTCTGTCAACCATCCAAAATCACCCTGAGGCTCTCGGGACCTCAACCAAAAGCACAAACACATCATATACCACTACCCAAACTTGTACCAACCTTCAAAAAGCCTCAAACAACATCAAATCAACCAAATTACATCGAAATCAAGCCTAAGATTCCAAAATCTTCCGAATTCCGCTTTCGATCAAAAAGTCTATCAAACCACGTCCAAATAACCTGAAATTCTGCACACACATCCCAAATGACATAACGGACCTACTGCAACTCCCGGAATTCCATTCCGACCCCTATATCAAAATCTCACCTATCAACCAGAAAACGCCAAAAATTCCAACTTCGCCAATTCAAGTTTAAATCTACTCTGGACCTTCAAAACACATTCTGATCACGCTTCTAAGTCCCAAAATATCTCCTGAAGCTATCTGAACCATCAAAATTCACATCCGAGCCATTTTTTACATAAGTCAACATCCGGTTAACTTTTTCAATTTAAACTCACTCAAAAGAGAATAAGTGTCTCAAACCTTGCCAAAACCTTCCCGAAGCCAAGCCAACCAACCTGATAACACATAATACCGATAAACAAAGCAATAAGAAGCAGAAATGGGGGAAACAGAGCGGTAACTCATGAGACGACCGGCCGGGTCGTCACACAGGAATTTTGCTCGATTCCCAAATTTTCGTATGCTAAAGCCCACGCCTAGTGCTCGACCCAGGGCCCCCGGACCTGGATCACCTAAAAATTTTACGGGCAATCACATATGACCTAAGGAACAATAGTCATCACCTCTCCATGACTGTTTCTTGTTTTTTGAAGTTTTAGGGCAATAAAACTTAAATTCCACCAAATTTCTGGATTTTCATGTGCTATAGCCCACGCCTTCTGCGTGGGCTTGGACCCTAAACTCGAATCGCCTAAAACTTTTTCGTGACCGTTCCTTGATTTTTGGCATCTTAGAGCAATAAAACTAGAATTTTGTCAGATTTTCGTGCGCTATAGTCTACGCCTTGAACATAGGTTTGGACCCCAGACCTAGATCGCCTAAAATTTACCCAAGCCATCAAAAATGGCCTAAGGAACAATAATCACTGCATCGGCATTACCGTTCTTAATTTTGTTTGATGTTTTAGGGCCATAAAATTGAATTCCACTCGATTCTCAAATTTTTGTGTGTTATAGCCCACGCCTTCTGGGCCTTGGCCCGGATCGCCAAAAAACTTTTTGGGCCATCAAAAATTACCTAAGGAACAATAATCGCCGCCTCGACAAGACTGTTCATTTTTTGGAGATTTAGGACCATAAAACTAGAATCCGTCTGATTTCCAAATTTTTGTTTGCTATAGCCCACGCCTTCTGCATGGTGCGGGCTCCCAGATTCTGATCGCCAAAAAATTCTCCGGACCATAAAAAATGATAAAGAACAAGAGACATCGCCTCGCCATGACCATTCCTTATTGTTTGGTGTTTTAGGGCCATAAAATTGGAATTGCAGCCTATTTCCAAACTATCATGTACTATAGCCCACGCCTTCTGTGTGGGTCCGGACCTTCGGACCCGGATCGCCTAAAAAAAATTCGGACCATAAAAGACGACTTATGGAACAATAATTATTACCTCACCTAAACTCCTCGTCTGTTTTGGCGTTTTAGGACCTTAAAACTAAAATTCCGTCCATTTTCATATGCTATTGCCCACGCCTTGTGGGCCTGGCCCAATGACCTGAATCGACTAAAAATTTTCCGGACCATAAAAAACGAGTTAAGGAATAATAGTCACCGCCTCTCCCTGACCTTTCCCGTCTTTTGGCATTTTAGGGCCACAAAACTGAAATTCCGCCTAATTCCAAGGTTTTTGTGTGCTATATCCTACGTCTTTTGCATGGGCTCGGGCCCTCATTCCTATATCGTCTAAGATTTTCCCCAAAAATAACAACGGCCTAAGAAATAATAGTCACCGCCTCGCCATTACCGTTCCTCTTTATTTGGCGATTTATGGCTATAAAACTGAAATTCGTCGCATTCCTAGATTTTCGTGTGCCATAGCCCACTCTTTCTGCATGGACCAAAGCTCCCGGATTGCCTAAAAAATTTTTGGCCCATAAAAAATGACCTAAGTAACAATAGTCATAGTCTCGCCATGACCGTTCCTCGTTTTTTTTTTTTTTTTTTTTTTTTTTTTTTTTTTGCATTTTAGGACCATAAAACTGGAATTCTGTCTAATTCTCATATTTGAAAGTATTTTGTATATATGAAAAATATACAGGGGAAAATTGGGTATCAACAGTCACCGGACCCAGATCGCCTAAAATTTTGCTGGCCCATAAAAAACGATCGAAGGAATAATAGTCATCGCCTCAGCATGACTGTTACTCATATTTTCGGCATTTGAAGGCCATAAAACTGAAATTTCGCCTGACTCCCAATTTTTTGTGTGTTATACGAAAATCTAAGAATCACCTTGAATTCCTAATTTATGGCCCTAAAACGCCAAAAACGAGAAACAGTCATAGAAAAGCTATGACTATTATTCATTAGATTTTTAGAAAAATTAATGATCTTTTAACCTTTATTAGTGCAACATCAAAGAAAAATTCAAGAACGATTCATGATTTTTGAATTCACATTATACTTCAACAATTAAGAGCTACTACTTTAGGTCATTCAAACTCCAAAAACAATTACTGAATTTTGAACTTATAAATATTCAAGGAGCTGTAATTGATCTTGGAGTTATTCTGTATTTTAAATAAGGGTATTTTTTTGTCTAGACTTATATTTTCGTATTAATGAGTGACTACTTTCCCTTGACAATTTAAAGTACGACTAAGCTCTAATAGTTGACCTAAAAAGTAGCTATTTACCAATTCCTCACAATGATACACAAGACCCCCTTGCCTTCCCCCTTCCCCCTCCCCACCCAACCCCAAACCCAAGCAAAAAAAGAAAAAAGAAAAAATGAAAAGAGAATAATCAAACTCCTAACACCACCTTTTTCTCCACCTGGTGTTGGGTCCAGGTGATACTCGCATGGCGATTTTAAATAATGGAATTTTACAATAAATAGTCGGTCAAATTCTCTGTTTATTTTTTCTAGCCAATATATACAAATTATATTGATTATATAAAATTATACACATATGATACTTGAATTATTTATATATTATATATTCGTCGGTTATTTTTAGTTAAAATAATTTGGTGAGCGGCTATTTATATTAATTTTTTAATTAATCCGAATTTACGTCGAGTAAGCCAAGCGCTACCTACTTTTTTCCATTGCGCAGAGCCAGAAGCCTCTCATTCTCCTCTTTCTTTCTCTAGTGATTCTGTAATCTTTACCTCCGATTATTTTGAATGGTTTTGCACACTAGAACTTTGATATGTCTTATTTATCTTTTATATTATTTTTCTGATATAACCACAACTATTGGAGAAAATACAAAAACTATCTGTTACATATATTCTTCTTGAAATGTGATGGATTTTCTTGCATAAGATTACTATAATAAAAAATTATGATAAGATAGTTATTTTCTTACCAAACTTGTAATTAATGACCATTAATGTATAACAGCTAGTATATGAAACATTTCTTCATTAACTGATTATCTAACCAGATAGGCATTTAATTTCATCATTGCAAAGGAATCAAGAACCACGTTTTTCTCCTTATATATCCTAACGTTCAAATATGTTTTAAAAACTCACACAAAATCTCACACCAAATATTAACACTAAAAGTTCTCCCACGGGCAGATTTTTATGCAAATGTTCTTATTGCTAGCATTTGTTTCTTTGTTGCTCTTCCCCTTCACAACTTCATGTATGTCCTCCACCTTTAACTTTTATGCAATTTTTTTTCTTGTTTTTTTTTTTTTCGTGTGTTTACTCTTACTTATAGCATGTTTGGCAAAGTTTCTAGTAAATTAATAATTTGTTTTCTTAAAAAAATACTTTTTTTGGAGTTCGTTAAGGGGTTTTAACAAGCTTCCGAACGAAAAAAAAAAAAGTGATTTTGAGTGATATAAGGAGTTGTTTTTCTAAAAAAGTTGCAAAAGTACTTATTTCTAAAATTCCAACGGACAAAAACACTTTTTAAAACAAGCAGATTTTAAAAGTTTAGCCAAAAATGCCCGGTTTACAATGTTGTAAGGCATGATAAATAATTTATGGGGTTTCTCTCGTGCTTGATTAAAAAAGATATAAAAGTAAGAACTTCAAAAGTCAAATTTGAGTTATTTTGTATATACTAACAGTATAAATAATTCGATTCTTTTCAGAAAATTAAAATTTACATATGATGAATACCATATATGGTATAAACCCTCTTTTTTTTATTCGGGTTGGGTTGACTTATAAGTACAGTAAGAAGGAATAAAACCATTGGAGTGTCTTCTGCAGTTTACACTTAGAGAAGAACGACTGACTTTGAAAGTGGAACACAAACCTATTTCCGCTATTCGGGATTGCCTAAAGGACGAATTAGAATTATTTGAAAATAAAAAATACCAATTGCCCTTTTCTTGTTATTCAATCATTTACATGAATTTTGTTGTAGGTTGGTTTGACTATCCAAGAAAATGTTCTCTAAGTGATATACAAATATACCAAGGGCCATCAGGTTTTAATGGTCTTCATATACCTCAATATACAGTACAAATTGTGAATGAGGCATCAGCCATTGATGGGATATTTGATGTTCAAATACATTGTGGTGAATTTGCTTCTGCAAATTTAATTGAACCTAAAATCTTTAGAAGAATTGGCTGTGGAATTTGCCTTTTGAAAAATGGAAGTAGGATTCTACCTGGAGAAGTAATTTCTTTTGAGTATTCAAATATACTTCCTTATGATTTCTCTGTTATTCAAGTTAAGTGTTGATTTACCAATGGATCTTGAATGATCAAGAAGAAAGGAAATGCAATTCTTTATTTATTTAATTATATATTTATTTATTCATTTGTTTATTTATCTTGGTTATTTGTTTTTATTATAAGATATCTATTAGCTAGTTGCACATTTATTTTAATTGTTTTAGAAACAACAAGAGAGACTACGAAATTAGCGATGATCTTCGTCGCTAATCTATCGCAAGATCGTTCATCGCTAATAGAATTTCTTGATAATTTATCGCTAATCCGATTCATTACTAAATAGGATTAACGATAAATTTTTCTATTTAGCTACAGAATTTGTCCGTCGCTAATTTCTATTTTTAGTAGTAGATCTACTTTCATAGTGTCCTGTAGTGTTGCCACTTGGTTTCATTAAGCAGTACCTAACTACTGTGACATGCATTTATGATTTATGTCTGCACCTCTTTTAAAACTCATAGCTTAAAGGAAAAAAGAAAGAAATTATTGAAAAGGTGGAATATAGAATTCAAAAGGGCAAAACTATAGCTAAAAGGGTACAAAATCAGGGCAAAATTATAGCTAAAAGGGTACATAATCACTTATATACTACTCTTTCCGTCCCATTTTACTTGAAATTGTTCTGATTCCGAGAGTCAAATATTCTTTTTTTACCGTAATTCATGTATATATTTATTAAAAATTTTGAATTATTAATTATTATAACTTATAATACTTTTTATGTAATTTTCAAATGTATAAATTTTATTTTCAAAATTTGAAGATTCTATATTCAAATTCATGATCAAAATTAAGAAAGTTTGAATCTCAATAACTGAAAAGTATCACGTAAATTGAAATATAAGGATAACAATTTAACCTTTACAGAAACCTAAAGAGTAAAGATTACACGGAGTGAAATTGCATCTTTCAATTCCATTTCATTGTTTCTTTTACTATTAACTAGTATCTATCAACGTGCGCACGTTAATAATGACATGTGGTAGTTTAAATATTTATTTATATGAAAAAAATAATAAAATTTAATTAATGAGAGTAATTTTATGTATAATAATACAACAATCACCTAAATGCCAAAAAATATTATTACATTAACATAATACATGAATTTAAAATAAAAGAAAAGCATCAAAACTTACACAAATAATCAATTTTGTCATGTTAGATAATTATTATTATAGTTTAAAAGTATTTAATGTAATGATAGCTTAACGAACGTTTTTTTGTGAATAATATTTTTTTTGCATGTATGTTTCCTCCTAATGCTTTGGTTGCTCTGCCTAAATCAAAACTCTTGATATCCTTCTTGAAAGTGCAACATACTATTGTTCGTACAAGAAAATATATTGCGGTAAATATAGTCCAATATTTAGGATGTTTGTCCTTGTATATTTATTATATTTGCAAAACATATACTAAAAATTATTTTCACATAAATTTAAAAGGATATTCCTTAGTTTCGGAAGACGAAAGTTGNAAACATGTATGGTAGAAGTCCATTTGGTATTAAAGTATTTAAGTATAATCTTCTTGGTAGTAATTATTTGTATCATTTCTGTTGAGTCAAAAATTGAAAAATATTTTATTTTTACTATAAAATTTTGCAATCCACATTTTATTTAGTTGATCAACATATTCATTTCTGCTAGTTAAGATATCTGTTTAATTCTATCATGCGATTTGCACAATTTACGTTTTAATCTAATGATATAAATATTTCTCTTATTAAATGCACTATTATTACCAATGGAGTTGATAACCAAGTGTTCAGGAAGAACTAAATCATCTTTTATTGGATGTTCTTCTTCATTTTCGATACGAAATAAGAAGACACTGAATCATGATATGTTCTTACTTTATATTTCTTGTGAGTTGAATCTTTTTCATTTAAGGCCAAAAGCATAACTTTGGCGAGTTAGCTTTTACAGTCTATATTTTTTTCGATTTTGGAACTACTTGTAGTACTTGACAGAAATCACCTCCCAAACCATTAATTTTCCACCAAATGGTTCATTAATATCCAATATATATCTAGAATTTCGGGCAATTATTTCACTCATTTGACACTTAACCATACGCACTTCATCTCATATTATCAATTTTACTTTTCTTATAAATTTGTGATGTTTATTTAAATTATTTAAAGATGTATATCAAATCTAAAGTCGGTGACCTCACAGTAAAATCATTATTGGTATATCACTTGTTATTATTGTTAACAGTGTCATGTCTCTTCATATGATATTTGCAAGTAATTCATGACATAGAAATATTATTTCGATTCCACCAGAGGCATCTACAAAGAATAATCTTGTTATACCTGAGTCGACTCTTTATAATATAGTCTTGAAAACTTATTCTTGTTTCAGATTTAGCTTTGATCGTGTTTCCTCAGACACTTATATAACATTTTGATTCTTAATAATATACTAAATTTATGTTGTAATGCTCTTTTTATGGAATAAATTTATGTATCTTAAAAAAATTAAACTCGAAGAAGATCGTGCTCTTTTTGAATATTTAATTTTAATTTTAATTTTATTTTCAAAGACTAAAAGATTGATCTGACATTTCGCGTTTAGATCTTTATGTTTGTAGAATTATTAGTGGTATTGACTCTTACCAACTATTTTTTCCCCTCTTTCTCACATATTTATATTCTTAAATATTTTCTTAGTTGCTGTTTAATAATTGGATATTTTTTAATATTACACAAAAAAGTGATTAAAAAATATTATTTGAGTAGAAACATAGTTCAAATATAATATAAAAATACATTATTGTGGGGATATTTTTTTTTTCTAAATTTTAACTCTTTATGTAGTCCATTTAATATTACTTTTTTATGGGTATTAGACATTATACAGTAGTAATGTATTGCCAATACAGAGGATTTTTATGAAATTTGATTTTATTAAACCTTTCTACATATTTATAATAAGAATTTAATAAATAGAATTTTATTAATTTTAAAATCTTAAATATTAATCACTAGCTTCTAAAGTCAACTAATATTCTTTATATTAAATTATGTATAATATAAAGTCGACTCTAGTTGAATATTAGTCGACTTTAGAATATTATAAATATTAGTCGACTCTAGAATGTATAATCGAGATTCTATGTATATTAATCGACTCTAGGAACAATAAAAAAATAGTATTAATTTAATATATTGTATAGTATTATGTCCTAAAACTAATAGGATTATAAGATTAATATCTAGAATTTCGATTATATCCTTTTTTAAGATTTATTATGCTTAATATTCTAAGATTATTTTTGTAAACCGACATCGTATTCATGCTTTTATAATAATATAGAATATAAATATAGATAGATATAGATATAGATAGAGGTATTGTTACTGTTTTACGCTGAACACTTTTCTCATGTTTGAGATAGCCAACTCAGACTACATAAACAAATTCGTGAAAATACCAAAGACGTTCGAGAGATTTTCTAAAACATAAATATAACACATTAAATATTCATAAAATCCTTAATCATAAGAAACCACTACTGGCTAGTCTACTTTCAACTGCGTATATGCATTTTTTTTTGCTGTATACACAAAAATGTTTCTTTTCACTTTTTGGACTAGAATAACTTATATTTCTCTCTCTCTCTCTCTCTCTCTATANTCTGAAAATTATAAATACTTCATTTGCAAGAACTGTGAAAATAAAGGGAGACACATTATTTTTGGAAAGGGGGTGAAATAATCAAACTACATAAACAAATTCATGAAAATACCAAAGCAATCCAAGAACATGAAACCAACATAAACATAAACACATTCACCAAACAAAAACATCCTTAACATTCAGCAACCACTACTAGCTTCACTAGTTTACTTCAAATACCCCATGAAATATTGGAAAAAAAAGAAAGGGCAATTCAGTGCATAAAACATTTGCATCCACATAGAATCTGAGAAAGGACCGTACCCCAAAACGTTAACAACCTAAACTAATACAAGTACTACGATTGTGTCCATTAGATTTGGTAATTTAGATTGGTTTTTTAGTTCATTATATAGGGAAAGATGTAGGGTAACAAAAGGATCTTGACCGTTTGATTTGTAGGTTTTGGATCTGAAACGTTGCTATTTGATGCGTATGTACTAGCTACTCCCTCCGTCACATATTATGTGTCGTGTTTCTCTTTTACACGTCCCTATATTAAATAAAATAGGTTTTTGATTATTTTACCCTTATTTATATCTTAAGAAATAATTTCTCTTCATTTATTACTTACTCATAATAAGGTATTTGTAGTCTTCAAGAACAATTAATATTAAGAATAGAATAGGAAAAAAGTAATTAATTTACTCTTGAACTTCTAAAATGACAAATAATTTGAGACAATTATTTTTAGAAATCATGACAGATAATATGAGACGGAGGGAGTATTATTTATCGTATTTCTCTTTTATGTCCCTTCAGAAAATTATTAATTAGGCGGGATTTTGGACTATTATAACCTTATTTATGCTTTAATATATAATTTTTCTTTGACGATATTTACTCTATTTATGTACTATCTCTATCTTTAAAAATAATTATTCTATTAAGGGTAAAAGGGAAAAAAATATAATTAATTTTGTTTTGAACTTTTAAAATAATAAATAATTTGAGATAACTATTTTTAGAAATCGCGATAGATAATTTGAGATAGAGTGAATATTAAAATTTTTATTAGGATATAGAGGAAAAAATAAAAGGAAAAAGGTTAATATTAGGTAAGCAAATCCAAAATAAATGTTTAAATAAACAGTTGGGATTTTTAGCCGAGAATTAAGTAGGGGGAGAGTGTGAAACTGATAAATGATTCCAAGGGATATGGAAATCCAAAAGTCAGAAAAGAGTAGTATTATTTTTTAATAGAGAATATTCACATTTTTTTGGATCAATTACAAACAGAGTAGTAAATTTTCTAAAAAGTTCTTCTTCCGTATACATAAAATTAAACTTTTTTATTATTAATTTTATATTAATCTCATTC